GGTCGACGCCTAGAAACCCTGCAGAACGCTTTTGAGGATCGTTTTGTGGAGACAATCTCAATCTTGAGATGCGAATTTGCAATCTTTTCTTGCTGACACAGACACCACCAGTGGTGTGGATCTTGTCGAAGTGACTGACAAAGGAAATGATGCAATGTGAATTCAACCCAAAGAGGCTTACGGAATTCTGACCCAGGTCTACCCTTGCCAGGAAACAGTAATTACAGAAGCTTAGGCTTCATGTGATATCTTGATGAGTTTTCAACAAATTTCCATTGCATTAAAACATCAAATCATTAGCTATCATACATATGCGTATGTTTTCACACCAAAGCCTACTCGGCAATCCTCAGCATTGAAATCTCTACGTGAGAACCAGAGTGTGAGTGTACTAATGTGGGTGTATTCTTCTAGAAAGACGTGTACCATTTTTATCAGTTTCTTAAAGAGATTCTTGATTAACAAGGACAGGAACCAGCAAATCAAACCTTGACTAAGACCTCTTCCAGCCCTAAAATTACAGAAATCAGGAAGTCTAATGCTAAACTGGTAATGTTATTAAAAAACAGTGGATGTCCAGATGACTTGTATTTGCAATGTCAAATTTGTCTGCCTGAAAAAAATTCCAGGTTTTATCCGGTGGTTTGGTGTCACACACAGAGAGGCAATGACTTAGCTATCAGGTTTATTCACACCTCTTTGTGAGCAATACTGAGCTCCTAATGTTCCCTGTGCCCGAGCCTCTGCTTCTAAGGTCAGCCTGACTGAAGGTCGTCAAGGACCTACCATGACAGGAAAGAGAAAGAGGCTGCAGCTGATCCGTAATTCTTGACCCACAGCCAGTGCATGCCTCCCATTACCCAGATGGCATCACCTTGATTATAACCAGCAACACTTGATAAAAGCTGAGTCGAAGGCCCACCCATTAACTCATCACCCTGCCCACTGCTGGGAAGTGTGGGAATGGACAGCAGGTGGAAATGTCCTTCTCTCTACAGAAAAGGTGTCTTCTTGGTCTGAAGACCTGGCCTGGACAGGAAGAGGCCAGGAGAAGAGCTCAGACCCACACCCGGCACCATTCAGGGAGCATGGGAGCGGCTGCTCAGAAGCGAATGGTGGAAGATGTGAACTTAGAACTCCAAAGATTTTTAAGCACAAACTCTTAAAAGCTTGCTATTTTTATTCCTTTTGTGTGTGTGTGTGTGTTTTATACTAGACATTAGAATAAACTTAAAAATGGCTGGCACCATGTAAGGTAGCCCTGCTTATCCAAAGCAACCAGGCTGCATTTTTGCACCGCATCTTACTATTCTCCCACATCCCCCGTTTCCCCTCCTCCCTCCAATCGCTCTTCTCTGCTTTCGGTTGCTTTCCAGTATAAAGTCAACAGTGGAGTCTCCTCCACACCGCTCCCAACTCCCGCCAATTCCTTTAACTTTAAACTAGAAGGCGAGGGTGGAGGGATTGAGTGAGGGAACGGCACACACTCAGCTCTCATTCCTGGCCAGCACTACTGGGTCCTAGTTATATAGTTTCTGGCTGATTTTGGGGAGCTGCTCAAAGAAATCTTTGACTTAGGGCCTGGGATCATGTCCAGAGGCACATTTCTCCCTGCACTCCAACGGCACCCTCGGGTGGGGTGCTGGAGGGCCCGCTGAACGATACTAAATGCCTCGGGACTTGAGGTGGAGTACTGGACTCCGCTGCGGATCAATTTTTCAGCCTGCTGCTTTATCTACCTGACAGGACGACTTGAACTAGTGCCATTTCTAAATTGCACTTCCAAATATTGACTTAATGGCGAGACTCAGCGTGTCACAACCCGGTTCACTAGAGCAATGAAGATTTTCCAGGCCTCACCGCGAGGTCTGTACAATCTCCTGTGGGGAGTGGAGAAGGAAGAGGAGGATTTAAGAAGAAAAATACAATCAAGTCATGTTTGGAAGAAATGCCCCTGCACCTCACTTAATCTTGCAGAGACACGTGAGTGATCACTGAGCTATTGGCTGAGGCTGGAGGGAACCAGGGTGGACAGAGGAAGGATAGTAGCAACCAGAAATTCTGCAGCTGCCCCCCAGAAAGAACAGACGGTGCCAGGGCACGCCTTGCGGGGCTGGCAGCAGAGACAGCTGGCTCTCTGAGAGCTTCGTTAGAGTATCCAGTTCACGAGGACTGGACAGTGTCTGAGAGACTAGAGACTTTCTATCTGTGAAGACTTCTACACACAGAGGCAGCTCTTTAGCGAATCTTCATTTAGGTCACTGAGGAAGTGCTAGGAGGCTTCTCTTTACAGCTTCTTCATCCTGCCAGTTAACACTGTAACTGATCTTAAGGCATTTTTGTCACATTCCATTAGCTGTTAAACTGTGAATCAGAGGAAGGGATTGGTCCCTTCTTGTCCCGAAGGAGCTATTTTGAAGAAGCAACAAGATATTTTTCATGCAAATTGACTTTCGGATTTCTGTAGACACTCAGTGATATATGAATTTGTATTCTCCAAGAGGAGATAAAGGCCCGGCAGTGTGACTCATGCTTGCAATCCCAGCACTTTGGGAGGCTGAAGTGAGTGGATCACCTGAGGTCAGGAGTTCGAGATCGACCTGGCCAACATGGTGAAACCCTGTCTCTACTAAATATGCTAAAATTAGCCAGGTGTGGTGGCACATGTCTGTAATCCCAGCCACTCCAGAGGTTGAGGCAGGAGAATCACTTGAACTCGGGAGGGAGAGGTTGCACTGAGCCAGGGTCATGCTGTTATACTCCAGCCTGGGCAGCAAAAGTGAAACTCACTCAAAAAAAAAAAAAAAAAAAAAAAAAAAAGGAGATAAAGCATAATAATAAGCCTCTGTACTGCTGCAGAGAGCAGTGCGTGCAACACAGCAACCACCCCTCAGTAGCAGCTCCTCCCCTTTGCCATAGCGCTGGCGTCCTGGCTGCCGAAAAACCCTCACGAGGAGATCTTACGTGAAGGGGGCTCGAGGGGTGTTGGCAGGGAGGTTTTGTGTATGAGGGTGTTCTCTTGAAAGCAGGGAAAACTTGGCTGGGTGGGGTGGCTCGTGCCTGTAATCCCAGCATTTTGGGAGGCCGAGGTGGGCAGATTGCCTGAGCCCGGGAGTTCACAACCAGCCTGGGTAACACGGTGAAACCCTGTCTCTACTAAAATACAAAAAGTTAGCCGGGCATGGTGACTTGCACCTGTAGTCCCAGTTACTCGGGAGGCTGAGGCGGGAGAACTGCTTGAACCCGGGAGGCAGAGGTTGCGGTGAGCCGAGATCGCGCCACTGCACTCTAGCCTGGGCAACAGAATGAGAGTCCATCTTAAAGAAAAAAAAAAAAAAAAAAAAGCAGGAAAAACTTAAATTCCAAGAGAGAGGAAAAGAAGTCAAACTACCCGGATATCATGGGAGATGGCCCTCGTGGTATTGGCCACATTCATCCTGATGGTCCTTAGATTTGCTTCCAGGTGGTCCCCAATGCGGTGTCCCCAGTCCGTTCCCTCTGCGATGCCTACATATGTATTCATTGATAATAATGCCTCTGAGAATGGCCTCAAAGTGCAACACATGGCCTTTGTGTTTGACCTCATCACACTTACTAGAAAAGCCACACTCCCCCTGGGTATGGCTCCCTTAGTAAGCCTGATAAGCCTGGCCCGCGCGCTGACTTGCTTCCTTTGATCTAGTCCAGCTCCATGAATACTGTCTCCTTGTAAGAGAATGGAATCCTCCTAAACTCTTCCTTTGCTCCAAAGTGTCTTGTGTCAGCCGCAGTATCTACTACGGACAGAATCTCAGATGTCTTCTGAAGAAACTGTGATCAGCGCCACCGCCCCCCCAACACCGAAACTATATCTGCTGGGAGAGCTGGCTATGTCTAGTTGCTCTGCCCAGTTGTGAATTCCTGCAGCCTGCCCGAGACCTCCAGGAGCTCACCTGCAGGCATGGTCACTGCTCTGCAGCAGCTTCTAGGGCATTCGCTGGCCACAGCCGGGTCATGGGCTGACTTCTGTGGTCTCCATGAAAGCGTGTTCCATGTTCCTCAGGTGATACAGCATGGCGTGCCCAGCAGCTCCCACAGGCCCACCTCCAGCCAACATCCTCCAAACGCCTGCTGAAGGCCCCTGCACTCCCTCTCCACCGCCCCCTCCCTGCAGACCGCACATCTCACAACCCAGCACCCTCTCACACACCCATCAGGCTGCTGCTGTCCTCAATCCAGACCAGAACGACCCCTCGGCCACTTCACCCCATTTCCTACAGGCTGCTCTTCATTGAGACCTTCGACTTTCTAGGCCTCCCCTGGTATCTTTCTCCATAATAGCCACCAGCAGTGTGATACCATTGAGTATTAGGAAAGCAAGTGTCTCTTGTGACGTGCGTGGGAAAGGTAAACTGCCCACCTACCTTAAGAATGAATCCCACCAATGGAAAGACAATGGTAAGCGGATTCTGTTGTTATCACTGAATCTCCTCATGCTTAATGAAAGACATTCAGTGACCAAGTTGAGGGTATCTCAAGGACTTCTCACAGCAGCAAGGCAGTTTCCACGACTGCTTACCTCACCGGTCCAGGAGTCTTAACACAAAGGGACTTCATTTCATAGACCACCAAAAAATAATGAGTGCTTTCAATTCTCTTTTCAATATTGTGGAGGAGCTCAATGATGTCTAGAAACGGTGCACTATTTTTTTTTTTTTTTGTAAATCAAATAAGTACCCTACAATTTCTCTCTCCTGTATATCCAAAATTTTGCACATGAAGAAAGCAAGCTATCCCGTGGTGTTTGCTAAGTGAAGAGAATCCGGAAGGAGCATTGTGTCTGGTCTGAGGTTAGGGAGCTAAAAACACATTTTCAAAAATATGTGCCCATATGACAGATTTCTTAAATAAAGATCGTATTTTCCAAACCGCAGCATGGTCTTCAAACAGTAACTTGACACTGACTGCTCTCGGAGACTCTGGGATGATTTGAGATTTGGACTGGACGCCCGCACACTCACCTGGCCAGTAGTACATGTACACCTTCCTTTTGGCCTTGATCAGAGTGACCCACAAAGGTTCGGATCCATTCCACCAGAGAGGCATCAGGCTGTCTTTGTTGACGCCAATGTCGAAGGACTTGTTGGTGTTGGGGTCCCACATGTAGTTCCCGATCATCTGATGGACTTCACAATGGCGGCCTGTGACAATGAGAACACAGCTATCAGTTTATGGTTCTGGTGGCTTCTATTTTTATCTGTGTTTCTTGATCATATAAGCCGTGTGTGCTTATTTAGAAAGTACAGAACAGCATAACAATTTGCTTTTGACTTTTAAAAAAAAATTAGATTTTTTTTCTTAAGCTGTGCCATGAAGATAGGCAACCCACTAAGATGAATGTCCACTGATTGAGGGAGGGTGGGGCCATTTTGGGTGACGTCACCCTGTCAAGTCAGCTGTTTTAAGTTACAGTGAGGATGCTGTATGTAGAGCTTGAAGTCTAAATATGAATCAGCACGGCCATCTGTGGGTTCCTCTGACACTTGGTCTCGGTTCTCAGCCCAGAGCCCTCCCTGCACCCTTCAACCCTCCTCTGACGGGATCAGGAATCTAGCTGTTACAGGGTTCTTTCTTTTCTTTCTTAGATCAGAGGAGTCGTTGCCTCAGTGCTGAACCATGATAAAACCTAGGACGTTTGGAACAGAATGGAGAAAAAAAGATTCAACTTTGAAAAACAAAGCAAGAAACAACCCTCCTAATGCAGGGTTATGTAGAAACGAGGGCTAGTTCTGCTGAGCACAACTTAGTCCCAGAAGACAAGCCAGAAGTGAGAGACGGTAACGCTTGGACTCTTTGGAAACACTAGGCTTAAATTATTTATTTTGGAGCAATCTGTTGCATCTTTAAAGTAAAAATAACACAAACATTGGCAGGTGCATCAAACATTGCTGCAATTTCAGTGCGCGTCATCCGGCACCAGGATGAAACGTGCTTCAGCGAGCACCCTGACTATGCTGAATCAAGTGGCTTTTCTTCCTTGTTTTGCTGTTGTTACATCTCCTCCCCACCCCCTCCCCAAACTTTATTTTTAAACAAAAACAAAGCAAAATCATAAAATACTATTTGGAAAATTTGGACACTAAAAATATCAAGTGGAAAAACCTTTCACTTCATCCCAGAAAGCAAGGCATGCCGCAAACTACGCTACCGTGCTCCCAGATGTCGCCACAAAATGGTTTGTACCCAAAGCTGTAGAAGTGGTGGTTATGATCTTGACCAAAAGCTTCACATTAAAAAGACTAATAAAATTTAAAATAAAATAAAATCACGACGTTGAGCAATTTCTGCCATGGTTAAGGAAGTTATTTTATTTATTGTTTCAACTAACATTTATTCAGTGCTCTTATCCATACAGTCCTATGTATTGTAGGCTGGGATAGGTGTAGAGATTCCAGTCTGAATAAATGCTGTGCCCGTTCTCAAGTGGCTTGTAATTCAATACTCAACAGAGGATCCTCTGTGTAAAGGAGCCAGGCTTCCTGGGGCTGGGTCTAAGAAGGAAGCCAGGTTGCAGCCGCAACTTCAGAATTATGATGACCCTCGCTCACCCTGATGCACAGGATGACTCCTAGTATGTTCTCACCAACTCATTAAAAGTACAGCCCTAATTTTATTGGTTCGACTATATTATTTCTTTTAGTATATGAAAGCTTATTAATACTAAGATAGCCCCTCTTATGAATAAATGTTCTTATCTATTTCCTTCATTCAAAATTATGCATTCGGTATCACAAATTTGTATCATCCTAATGATGCTTTACTCATCCTTACACAAGGCAAGATAATCATGATTATATCCACAGAAAAAGGCCTCCTTCATGGACACTCTCTTTCTCCAGATGCTCTCTGCCACCCTCCCAAGTGTAGGAGGCTGTCCTAACTGCAGCTGGTGTGCGAAGAAGCTGAGCAAGTGTGCAGAATCAGAAGGGGGCGTGGGAAGCAGCATTCCTGAGGTCAGGAACCCAAGAAGAGCCTCTGAATGAATCACCAGGAAAGGACCAGGGATATCAGACACGGGAATAATAGGAAGAGATGCTGAGTGAGAGGCGTAGAGGGATCTCTGCTTCCAAGTCTGAATTGTTCGGACCATTTCAGAACAAGTGCATGAGACCCAAAGGTAAGTGGAGGCTTCACGTGATGTGGCCTTCACAAGGGCTGCATGCAAGGAAGCGTGAAACAACCAAAAAACCTTTTTTTTTTTAGACAGAGTTTCGTTCTGTCACCCAGGCTGGAGTGCAATGGCGCAATCTCGGCTCACCGCAACCTCCGCCTCCTGGGTTCGGGCAATTCTCCTGCCTCAGCCTCCTGAGTAGCTGGGATTACAGGCACACGCCACCATGGCCAGCTAATTTTTTTTTTTTTGTATGTTTAGTAGAGACAGGGTTTCACCATGTTGACCAGGATGGTCTCGATCTCTTGACCTCGTGATCCACCCGCCTCGGCCTCCCAAAGTGCTGGGATTACAGGCTTGAGCCACCGCGCCCAACCCAAAAAACAATTTTTAAAGTACGTGTAATCTATACTTGGATGTCTCAGAAACCCCATGATATCCTTTGGTGAAATTTCTGGCTTCTCTTCAACACACATATTTAGCACTCTGGACCCAACAGTGTCCACCCTCTTTCGTTCTTTGTTCTCTGCTCGCTGTGTAGAAAATTATAAGGAGCTTCTTTTGGATTTCAGAGCTGTTGTATGACTGCATTGTGTGTGCGCACACATGCACAGGTGTGAGAGAGACAGAGACACAGAAGGAGACAGAGACAGACAGAGAGATCGAGAGAACATTCTCCCAGAGAATTCCTGTAAGGTGGAGCGCTTTCAACAAGGTCACTTCAGCCTCCTGCGGAGAAAGCTGTGTTTCTTTTTTTGGTGGGTTGGGCCCTGAGCTGAGATGGGAGGGTGTGCAGTCCCCAGGGCTGTCTCCCGGAACGGAAGAGCGGCCTTTCCCGGAACCCAGCAGGAGGCTGCCTGGGATCTTCTCCTGCCTTCCCATGAATACAGTAAGGCTGCAGTCTGTGCTTACAACAACCGAAGTCGGCTCAGACTCAAGCCGATTTCCCTACCAACCCTCTGCCTCTCTTGCTGTTTCATTTTTATTGCCTGGGTAAAAGTGTGGCTGAAAGAACAGAACAGAACACAATGTACCGGCTTCTGCAGCCCACGAGTTCTCATCTCCATCTTCCTGCCTGACCCATATCTATTTTTATACATCTATAGCTCTGGGTTTTTCTCTGGTTGGACTTTCCAAACAGAGCTTTGCTGTGGTTTGGTGTTTTTGGTCTCTGTGCTCAAGCTTGAGTACAAACGTTCCTGACATCCTCTAACACCACAATTGCAGGTGGTTTTCAGGTCCAGTGTAAGGAATGTCTGCTGCTCTTCCTCCTCCAAATGACAACTTGGGGGCTTTGAAACCCGTGTTTGCCTTTCTCAGAGAGAGCTCCTGGAATCGTTCATAGCCAGAACTGCTGTGTGAAGAGGATGGGACATGGCGCCTTCATTCCCCAGAGTCTTACTCATATGTGCTCGGTCCTAATCACCACCACAAGACGTTTCTTAGCAAGTCCCCAGAAACCTCTGCACCATGTTGTATGTTTCATCTCAGAAATGGCTGGTCTTCACTTCACATGAGAAGGTAGAGGGTCTGTCCATCTTATCTATAACTAATGGTCGCTTTGACCTCTGAGTCCTCTGCTCAACTACACCCAAACCTGAGCTTCCCTCCTTGTTCTGTGGCATCCAGGTTGAGCAAAATTCTTGCTAAGTAAGTTTAGTGATAACCCTCCATGCCTGGTATATTACCACCCTCAACATCTCACCACCCTGCCTGCCTTCAGCAAAAGTTCTGTTGAGCAGATGTAGCCAGAATTCCATTTCCCCGGTGTTTCGTCTTAGTAGTTCGCCATCCGCTGACCCCCCCACCATGTTCCTTGTCTGTCAGTCTGTACTTGTCTGTTGTACCTGGAGTGGAGCCCAATCTCTCTCCCACTGCAGGATCCCATTGCAGCATCGTTTCATTTGTCACAATGGTTCCTCCTGAAATCTTGACTTACCACCTTTAGCAAGCATCATAAATAAGTCTTCCCTTCCGTCCTTCCTTCCTTCCTCCCTCCCTCTCTTTTTCTTTTTTTCATTCTATTTCTCCTTCCTTCCTTCCTCCCTCCCTCTTTTTCTTTCTCTTTCTTTTCTTTCTTACTTTCTTTCTTTCTTTCTTTTCCCCTCCCTCCCTTCCTCCCCCCCATCTCACTTTGTCACCCAGGCTGGACTGCAGTGGCATAATCATGGCTCACTGCAACCTTGACCTCCCGACGTTCAGGGAATCCTTCTGCCTCAGCCTCCCAAGCAGCTAGGACCACAGGCATATGCCATCAAGCCTTGACTAATTTTTGGCTGTATTTTTTGTAGAGACAGGGTTTTGTCATGTTGCCTAGGCTGGTCTCAAACTCCTGGGCTCAGGGGATCCAGCTGCCTCAGTATCGCAAAGTGCTGGGATTACAGACATGAGCCGCTGTGCCCAGCCAAGTTTCTCTTTCACAGTGGACGTCTGTAAGGTTGCTCCTACTTAGATTTCAATCAGTCTTAATTTATTCTCATTGTTTTCAAATGGTCAATGTCAATTCCTTTTATAGTTCCTTCTTTTATGTATTCTTTTTGCATTCACTCAACATGTATCAGATAACGTTTATATACTAAGTATATAAAGATAAAAAAAGAAATGGTATCTGTCTTTGGCTCACAGCCTGCTATGACAATAGTATGGCACAGTGGTTAAGGGAACGAATCTTGGCGTCAGATTGTATAGGTTCAAGTACAAACTCTGCTATTTATTTACTGTCTGCATGACCTTGCACACGTAGCTTAGACTCTCTGAAGCCTCAGCATCCTCATCTGAGTAATGGGCATCGTAACAATTGTTGTGGACAGTCAACCCTTTGCTTGGCAGTGTGGAGCCATAAAAATGGCTGTGCAAGGCAAAACCATAAAAAGCTATCTTAATAGTCAGTGTGTGTGTGGGGGGTGGGGGTGGAATAGGATTGTTTTGCAACATTTGAAAATGTTTGTCAAACTATTGAAAGTCCTCCCACTGTCAGTTATACAGGAAAATGAAGAAAAAAATTGTACAATTATAATTTACTAGTATTTT